AAGGGTTTTTGGATAAAGGTCAGTGATTGTTAGGTTTAGTTTTCAAGCACAAAATGTGGGATAGAAACAGATGAACAAACTTTTTAAACTCAGAGAGAAAAAAAGATTTACATAAGTCAAATATAATATACTATTGTACCATTTCCCAAAACTGATTGATTAATTAAATGTAAAAGCAAAGAGAAATAAAGAGAAACAAATTCAGTATCAATTTTGACTTAAGCTGTCGACAAAAGTTGTGTTGACGTGTCAGATGCTGGAGAGTGAGTTAAAAGAGAGTCAGTAAGACTCAATACTAGGAATGTTGGCCGATATTAGCATAATTATATAATATGGGTATAATCGCAGCACACTACTGCACACAGTATCGGTTGATATATTGGAAGAGAATTAAAGTTTTTGGACAATATCGGCATGTAGGCTAAATGTTAATGTTGGACATAAAAAAAAATCAGTACTTTTAGGTGTTTTTTTTTCCACTTTGTGTACACAGTGATAGTAACCAACGGGTGTTTCTGCAGCAGTAAATCTAACGGCAAAACGTAAACCATTGAATTTATCACTCCTCCACATTTACAGTGCCATCATAGAACATCCAAAGCTGAAATTCATAAATCACATCACGGTCATGCTGTGACTCTGGGTGCTGCTGACGTCTCGCATCCCTGTCCCTACAGTAATCACGATGTCAGCGGCGGAAAAAAAACACATCCATCAAGGAGCGGCCGCTCGTCTGCAGACTGACCACAGCAGCTTAGCTTAGAAGTGACAGTAAAGAAATACAACCAGATATGATTGATGACCTGACAATTCCATTTTTAAGCAATAATAATATTATTATCCATGTAAACGGCACAGACATAACACCTAGAGAAGGCCTTATGTGATTATGTAACGTTTGGGGCAGTGGTGGCTTAGTGGTTAAGGAAGCGGACTTGGGTCCAGAAAGCTTCAGGTTGGAGTCCACCAGCTGCCAAGTTCCCACTGAGCTGCTCTGAGTATGGCACCGTCCCCACTCACTGCTCCCCGGGTTTCTAAAGCTGCCCACTGTTCACTTTAGTGATGGGTTAAAAGCGTGTGCTGTGTCACAATGACAAGTAGTTCACTTTCCATTCATGCTAATTACATTCATTTAAAAAGGCAAAGACTGGTACGACCTCACACAATGCATTTGTAATCAGAACAGGAACACCAGGGCTAATGTTTCTGATTACGTTTCCAAAACATTACATATGCATTTGCGTGCTGGAGCGTGCGCTTCAGGCTCATTGTGACCCAACACTTTTCACTTTTCATTAGGTTCTCACTAGGAATTCAGTTCGAGTTACATTATCTTCACATTGCCAACACATTCACAGCTGTTGTTTCAAACCTGAACTCCGCCGCTTAAACAATTTTGAACAATTGAACAAAGTAAGTAAAATAACAAATCGGTGTACATTTTTTAATCATTTAACCCCTAACGTTTAAATGAATTTCAAATCCCCATCATGCAATCCTACGCTCTTCAAGGGTCAGCGCCCCTCAGTTTTCTCAAAATCCAAACTCTGACAAAAACGTAAAGAAACCAAAAGATCATTTAAGGTCAAATATCAATGAATGTTTTTTTAAAACATTTAATACTATCCCAGTTTTATTGTCTGATATATATTTACAGTTAAATGCTTATATTGTATGCACACACTTTAATGTCTGGATTTTCACTTGGTATTTACTAATTATGTCTAATATCTGGATTTTCACTTTGGAATTTGGGGGTGATCCCAAAATTGGTGTAATAATAACTTTGCCCTACTTGGTATTTACTAATTATGTCTAATAATATCAGCCAAAATATATTATTGTCCGATATTTAGCTTAATAATGTAATATAGGTTAGGGTCATTATCGGTTCTTCCTCCGATAATGAAAACCCGATAACGCGATGCCTGGGTTTTGCCTGTGACCTAAAAATAGTTTTGAAGTGAAAGTGAAACTAAAATTTGTATTGTGCACACAAATGTTATTGTGACATAGCACACCACTGCACACAATGAAATGCGTACTCTCCCTTTAACGAAACAGCTGCATATATCGGTTGATATCGGAATTTAAGTGTTCGGACAATATCAGCATATCAGATATTGGCAAAAAAGTTAATAACTGACATTCCTACTATTGACATACTGACAAACCTTAGCAGCAGTTCTTCAAAATTAAACCTTATTTTATGGTTTGTGTTGTTGCAGGAGAACATTAAAAAAAAACAACATTCCACTGAAATCCTAAACATAGCATCAAAGCGTTTCCGCTCCTCCTCCACAGTATAAACTTTGCTCTGATCCGCCGCAGTCGCCTCAGATTTAACTCTGTCTGACACCAAAATCACTCCTGTGGAAGTCTGAAATAAAAGCAGCGGTAATCTCCAGGCATATAAAAAAAATGGCTCGTCTCCCTCTGAGGGAGAAGCCAGTGTGACTCCCGTCTGACCCTGCTGCCTCCTCTCTCCTGCTGCAGCGCAGAAACACCAGATTTAGACGGCGAGGGGGCAGCGAGGGTAATTCTCTCCAGCTGGAGGTGATGGCTGCGTTGTTTGTGTTTCCCAGCTTTTATCTTTCATTCACAGCAAAAAGCACATGTTGACCTGCGCACACTTGACTGACTGCGCTCCTCCTCTGACATTTCGGCCGGCTCTTTTACATACAAACAAACGAGCTCCAAATAAACCATCCGGACAGCTGGTTGCCATTTTATCAATAGCCCATAATTTCCTCCCCAACTGGACGGAAATGCTAAAAGCAGCGAGGGTTCAGGCATGAGGGACAAAAAGACAGGGGCGACAAAGACAACAAAGACGAGGCGTAGATGAATCAACCTGACATGAAGGTGAGCAGGTGTGCACATCAGCATGTCAAACCACAGCTCTGTGCATGTGTCTGTTCAATAATCACACTCAATAGGTTCAACTCGAATTTGTCTTTTACAGTACGCTTAACACATGAATGGGATTGTTTTTGATCTTTGCTCAAGACACCAGACACCACAGGCATCCAGACAGGGTTCCAACCTGCGGTCCTCCTATTACAAACCCAGTCCATTTACCACTAGACCACAGGCTGCATTTATGACCAAAATTAAAGCTCGTTGCTGGCTATCTTGTAATATTATTCCTCTACATTGTTTTGATTTCAGCAAGGCTGGGGCAGCGGTGGCTTGGCGGTTAAGGAAGTGGACCACCATCCTCACACTCGAGCTGCCTCCGGCTCACTTTGGTTATAGGTAAAATGCAGAGGTCGAATTTCGTTGTGCGCAGTGTCACAATGACAAGTAGTTCACCTTCATTTTCACTTTCGACTTTAAAGTTAATAACTCTATGTTTTCAACCAAATTTTGAACTCAACAATTTAAATTACACTGGAACCTCGACATACGTGTATTTCAAGATACGAGCAAGCATTCGAGCAACAAGTAAAGACTATAGATACGCGAACGCTTACAGACGCCGACGCTAGCTCACTTCTGTAAGCATCGCTTCCGTACGTATGTCTGTTAAATAAAGAATACAAATCAAAAAAAAGAAAAAAAAAGAAAAAAAAAAAAAGAAGTAAGTTAAGTTAATTCTAAGTTTATCTAAGTTAGAAAGTGTACATGTTCATGAATTTCATTTTAACCTCTCACCTCAGGTTTGGGTGTGTCACTGTAAGATTGAGCAGAGGTTAGAAGGTGAATGATTATAATGCTGGGATAAATATTGTAGCGTGACATTTTGAAAGACAAAGAGAGAAGTGTTCATGAATTTCATTTTAACCTCTCACCTCAGGTTTGGGTGTGTCACTGTAAGATTGAGCAGAGGTTAGAAGGTGAATGATTATAATGCTGGGATAAATATTGTAGCGTGACATTTTGAAAGACAAAGAGAGACAGATACAGAGCAACGGGCGGAGATAGAGAGAGCTGTCGTTGAATGGTCTTTACACATGACACGAAAAATAAGACGGGCTGGATGGGGCAATGAGGGAAAGCAGCGACAATGACAAAGAGAATAGCAGGAAAATTAAAATAAAACTATCTGTATTCTAAAGAAAAACTTAAGCAAAACAGCAATACATATATAAATATATGTAAGTTTTATTTTTACATGTGTGCGAGCTGTGAAGAAACAACCAAAGACAACAGTCACTGTCATCACTGCCAACCTCCACAGGGCAGGGCTGAAGGTATCACAATCCACTGTTGGAAGAAGACTTAGAGAGAAGAATTATAGAGACCATAACCACAAGGTGCAAACCACTCATCAGCAAAAAGAATCAGAAGGCCAGAATGGATTTTGCGAAGAAGTACAGAGATCAGCCACAAACATTTTGAAACAAAGTTTTATGGACTGATGAAACCAAGATTAACCTCTACCAAAGTGATGAAAAGGCCAAAGTATGGAGAAAGAAAGGATCTGCTTATGATCCAAAACATACGAGCTCATCGGTGAAACATGGTGGAGGTAATGTCATGGCTTGGGCTTGCATGGCTGCTTCTGGAACGGGCTCACTTGTCTTTATTGATGATGTAACTCATGATGGTAGCAGCAGAATGAAGTCTACAAAACCATTCTGTCTGGCAATTTACAGAAAAATGCATCCAAACTGATCGGGAGAAGCTTCATCATGCAACACGACAACGACCCAAAACACACCGCCAACACAACAAGGGACTTCATCAGGGGGAAAAAGTGGAAGGTTAACCTTAACCCAATAGAGCATGCACTTTCCCTCCTGAAGAGGAGACTGAAGGGAGAAGCCCCCAGAACCACACAAAGACACAAAGAGGCCACAGTAAAGGCCTGGAACAGCATTTCAAATGAAGAATGCAACAGCCTGGTTAAGTCAATGGGTCGCAGGCTCAATGCAGTTATTGCAAGTAAGGGTTACGCCACCGAATATTAAATGTTATTCACTTTAATTTATGTTAATAATGTCTGTTCCAATACTTTTGCTGACTTGAAATGTGGGTGGGTTCAAAGAAAACATTTTATGCAATACACTTTTTAAAAGCAATAACAGAAAAAAAAAAAAATGAAAAAATAAAAATAGGTCCAGTGTTTATCTGTCAAAGAAGATGTTTTTTAGGGACTTCCAGAAGCAGCATCACTTCTCATCTCCTAATGAGACAGAAATCGGAGCTTTCGCCTCATGAATAAAACTTAACAAGTCTTGAGTCGAAGATTCACTTTCAGCATCAGGCAGGTGGTTGCCTGAACGTGCGCGTCTCCCTCTGTCTCTGCGGAGCTTCGTCCTTCGTCTTAAAGCTGACCCAGTAGGCAGGGTCCTCCTCTGAGAGCGGAGAGGCTGAGGCAATGAGGTCGCTGAACGACAGCAGTGTAAACGAGGTGGGAGGAGGGGGAGAAGTTAAGGAAGAATTGGTCTAAGAAAGAACAGGAAAAAAGAAAAAAAATTCGAAAAATATTTTCATGGATTAGCACATTTCGCAAAAGTAAAAAAAAAAAACAAAAACGCAAAAATAGCTTTGAAAGACAAAACGTGGCCCATAGTCCATTCAACCTTGGATCGGTCAATGTTTCAGAGATCACAGCTGTGTCAATAGAGATATTTCCTATACTATGTTTTTATAGTGGCAGGAGAAAGAAAGTACATAGAAGCGATAGCTATGCAACAAGGCTGCGGTTTCTGCTTGCGTCATCATTACTTCCTGTTTCAGCTGTGTTGTTTCGGTGATAAAAGTGGCAAAAAATTCGGTGCATCCCTAGTTAAAACAGCGTGCTTCTCAATTTTTCTCCGCCCCCCCCAAAGGGACAGAATTTAAATACTATTCAGCGCCTGGTAATATTTATTTATTTATCTGTACAAACCACTGTATGTGTTGCTGGCACCAGCATTCTGCATACAATCCTCTGATTATTAATATAGATGAATAAAATAAGCTACAATGCTGCCATCTAGTGACTAGAGGCTTGCTTAGCATTGATAATTTTTGGTGTTAGCGCTGGTTCTTAGTGGTTTGTGCTGTGGCCGACAACAGTGCTGGTTACAGGTGAGATAATAAACCCCTTTCTTAGGAGTTTAGAATGAGTATAACGATATATATATATAGATATATATATATATACACACACACATATATATATATATGCAGTGCACCTTATGGTGCGAAAAATACGGTACTCATATAATCACGTACTGTATTTTCTGGACTATACGTCTCACTTTTTTCATCCTTGGCTGGGTTTGCAACTTATACTCAGGTGAGACAGGGGCACTCTAGGCTTGTGTATTTGCTACTCCTGTACCACTGAAAATGTACGTTTGTTATATGACAGCCGCTAGAGGGCACTCTAGCTGGCTGGTGCGACTTATATATGTTTTTTGTTTTTTTTTTCATAGTGCATTTTCTGGCTTGAGTGACTTACAGTCTGGAAAATATGCTATATCATATACAAACAGAATTCCATACGTGTACACACGTCTATACTCTAGACATGTAATCTCACACAAACACACACACACACACACACACACACTTATAATCCTTGAATACATTAAGTACATACAGTACATATATGTTTACATACCTGTTTACAAAACCTAGATACAGTAATACATTTCCATCCTTTAAACAAAAAGTCCTTACTGTGACTCCTGGTTTGTCTGCTGGTCCAAGTGCAACAGCGACATGATGGTCAGGGTCCAGAAGACTCTCCTGTGAAACAGAAACACACTGTTTTTAATATAGATATCCATAAATCATAACTTCATAACTTGAAATCAGAACAAAAGTGACAGTATATTTATCAATCCTGAATCCCTTTCATTCTTTCTTAAGTGTTTGCAGATGCCCTGTAATCAGAGAAAACATCCTGTAATATTTTAGGGAATCTACCGTTTTGTTTTCTTGTCTCCCGTTTCAGTTCTGTATTGAACTGGATCATCTGAGCTACTGGATGTGAACCTGGAGACGGTCTGTTAGAGAAATTGATTCACTTTAAGTTCACTTGACCTTTCCGGGTCACTGCAATCTCTCACTGCTCACACACTGCTGCACCATGTCTCTGTGTTATGTCACGTTAACACACCAGGCATCCAAACTATGGTCCAGCCTTAACAGAACATCATCCCTGTTCACTGTTACAGCTCCTTAGGTTTGACATCCTTAAAGTTTAAGCTAACCTTTAGTTTCTGTTCCGTCTTTAGAGTCAAGGCCAAAATCGAATATCTTGAGAAATCGTCCAGAAACACTTAAGAATAAACATCTGATGCAGACAGGCCTGCAAATGTGTGTTTCTAAAAAAAAACTGAATCATCTAGGAGTTATTCCACTGTTTTAAACGGAATCATCTAGGAGTTATTCCACTGTTTTCCCCTTCATCATCACTTTTTTGCTTCATGTATGTATTTATATATTTATTTTTTGCTCTGCGTTTCAATACATCCACTTGTCATCTGCCGTCTTACAATTAATACTGTACATAAAAAAAGGGGACACACACACATCACCAACCGACTGCGATTGATACAGACGAGTTCCACGTCCCTGAAGTGAAAACGCTGACACCAAAACACCATTAGACCTCCGGTGGGACACGGACCGGAATTTTTCAAATAAGCGATGAAAAACCTTTTAGTAGCCACTGACTGAATCCCTCTGCTACTAGACTCCCAAGTACTGAAGTGAACGGTGGAGGGGACGGAAGAAAGAAAGAGAGAAAAAAAATATAGAGGAGGCTAAATAAGAGAGATATACTAGAAAAAGAAATCAGGAATGAGTAAAATCTAAGGATGAATGGAGGAGAGCAGTGAGACGTGAAGAGCAGAGGAGGAAGAAAGAGAAAGAGAGAATAAGTGACGACTGAGTGTTCTGACAGGCGTCCATTTTTAAAGTGCTCTTGTCGTTCAGAACAACAGACACTATTTGGAGCCATATTTGAATTTAGTTTTAAATAGTGTAAAGTAGTAATAATAACCGTGAAAGACCGTTGACAGCCTTCTCATCCTCACTGTGTACGCTTAGGTGAGGGTCAAAAAGTTCATTCTTGGCCGAAACCGAGTACTGAAAATGAGGAATCCAAGGCCGAAAACCGAAACACCGAAAGAAATTATTCTGCCAATTATTAGTACCATTGCATTTATGGCTATTACTGTGTACTAAGCCTCAATAAGATCAATGATATTGCATAAATTAATGTTACTCTTTCAAAGAATAAAACAACTACAAAATTATGAAAATATTTTATGTTGCACATTCCAACAATGCACAATACAAAATAAAATTCAAAATAAATTGTTAAACTTGACCCTACTTATGTGTACATTAATTGACAATGTACAGGCCTACTGGACTGCTGATAGATTGTAAAATTAAATATGTGTTCTCAGATGCCACCCCTCTTAAAATTTCGTCCCCACTCACTGCTCCCCGAGCGCATAAAGCTGCCCACTGTTCACTTTGGTGATGTGTTAAGGGGGTCACATTTGGTTGTGTGTGCAGTGGTGTGCTGTGTCACAATGACAAATAATTCACTTTCACTTTCACTCAGTGAAATCAGGTAAGCATAACTTCCTGTTTTGGCTGTTTTGTTCCAGTGATAAAAGTCTTTCGGACAAAAAACAAAAATGTACTTTTGGGCTATTTTCAGTCTAAACTTTTCAGTGCATCACTAGATAGAACCTTTTAAAGGTTCAAAAGGAGCCAATCTCAGCAGTCAACAGCCGAGTATTTGCCAGTCCATTAAAGCCACATATGGAGGCCACATATGGAGACCAACAACCATTTACAATTGTTCACACTGAATGTGAATTTAGAGCGAACACTTAACCAATCTCCAAACTTCTTTTTGGACTGTGTGAGTAAAACCACAGCACCATACTCTCACAATAAGGAGAAAATGAAAACTGCATAATAAAAAAGGGGGGATTGAACCATTGACCTTCATTCTGTGAGGCAAGATCATTAACAGCTTTTACCACCCAATTAACACCTACTGACAGAAAGCCCCGAGTAAGACTAAAAACTAGATCCAGAGAACCTCTGGATCTCAAACAGCCTGTGATGTTGTTGGACAACACAGAAGAGTAAAAACACCTTGGAACAAAGCCATTTACATCTGGCATCTGATCAGTCGAAGACAAAATCGCAGACGGCTTCCAACACAGACATGTTGCTTTTAGCACGCCGTTGGGCATGAAGCGCACCGACTGATCTGTCATTCATCGTTCATCTCTTTTCGTTTTTGGCAAAAAAACAAAGTTTGTATTTTTTTTTCCCCCGAGGAAACTCACCTCAAATATCCAGTCCTCCTCTTCGTCGTCCAGGTGCATCTTGGTCTGGTGCAGCACCTGACCCGACGTGAGTGGTTCTGAAGTCAGGTGGAACTCCACCCTCTGCAGGTCAAAGTTCAGACCAGTGCCAATGGCTTTAATAAAGCTTTCCTTCAGTGCCTTTAACAAGAAGAAGAAGCAAATGTGATGAGTTTCATGCCCAATTTCACCACAGATTCACAAAGATTTTTTTTTTTAAATTCTTACTTACATGCATTAATTAGTCCTTAAGACTTTATGACTCTAATATGATTTAGGTCAACATGCACTCAATATTTCAATTGTAATATAAATAATATAAACTATATTATATATATATTAAAGCTAGGTTTCTAGGTAAAACCAGCCATTTTCCAAAGCCAATGAGCAACAATAACACCATTACAAGGGCAATCACTATGGCAACCACTGAGCTCTGCCATTAGGAACCTGTGTGGTGATGAAATCAGAGAGACACTCGGATGTACTTGTGTAATTTTTCCTGTTTTTCCCCCTTAGTATTTGAATTACCAATGCAATATACAAAATTCAAAACAACTCCGCCTGTAGGGCCAAGCAGCAATGCAACGTGACCACAAAGTAATACGGTTGCCATGGTTACCCAGTGTCGATAGAACGCAGCAAGCTGCTGGTACTCAGAGCCAGATGATTGGATGACGCTCCACTCGTGCGCCGTAAACTGACGAGTCATGATGCGGAAAAACTCGGGGACAGAGTTGCTACCTGAAGGAAAAAGGAAAGAAATAGGAAGGACAAGGGGGAGATAGGAAGAAAATGAAGAAGGTGAAAATAGTAAAAGAAAGAAAAAAGCTAAAAAGCTGCTACAGAAAAACTTCAAAAATGTTAATGTGAGGGATTACAAACTGTAGGATGTGCTAATAAAGGATTCTTTACATCAACACCACCACACACACTCAGAAAAATAGAAATAAATAAGAAAATAAAGTAAATGGCAAACCGTCAGGACTCACAAAAACAAGACAACAGTGACATCTTGTGGTAACAATACATATTTCCTAGGACATAAAAAAATACAAGCAAGGCTGGATTGAACTTAAATATAGCCAAATCAGTAGTCTTATTAATATTTGTTATTTTCTGTCTGCATTTTAAAATCTGACAGAAAATCAGCTGATCACGTAAAGATGATTTTTTGCCAAAACATCAAAAGCCTCTTTCAAAATTGTTCTATTAACTTAAGGAATATTCTGCATTGGTACCTGGCAGGGTGTTTTTCATGATATCCACTCCCACCTGGAATCCTTGATTTGCAGCCAGCACAGCGTAGTCCCCTTGGTGGGAGATGTTGAAGCTCCAGGCAGCACCTGAATCAGAGCTGTTCTGTAGGAACAGAAAAAAAGTTAAAGATCAGAAACATTGCAATTGCAAATATATCTGACACAAAGTTTTTTTCCAATAAGGTCAGCCAACACAATAATAATATTTCCGAAAACAGGTAAATAAATACGAACAAAGGTTAGTGGGGTTCTGTAAGGTCTCTATTTACCTGCTGCGGAATAATAAAGAATTTTTTAGCCAAGGCATTTTGAATAAATTTATAAATTATAATTATGTGTGGTACATTGAAAAACGTTGATGAACCTTAGAAGGTGCTGCCAGATATGGTTTCCCTCTGTGAGATCGTTCCAGTCGGATTTCTGACCAGGGCATTCCCATCTTCTCACAGACAAACTTCCTGATCAACAACCTGCCAACCTGATAAGAGAGAAAGGAAAAAAACCAAACAAAACAGAGATATTGAGTAATAGTATAAAAAACAAAAGTATTATTACTTTCTTAATTGCTTATACGGTGTGTACGACTTACATTTTTTGCAAGTTTTAAGACATTTTTCAAAAATATTGTGAACATGTACTTTAGAAGAAACCTGTCGAAGTTAGTTCGGAGTTAGAGTACAAATTGAACAACAGAACTCACCATAGCTGACTTGGCATCTTTGGCAAAAACAAACTGTCCAATTCTTTCTTTCTCCTCTTTCTGGATGCAGCGAGCCGCAAACAACCACTCAGCTCGGCTCGGTGTCCACGAAGCACAACGAAAAGCCCAGCGGACAGAGCACATTTTCATTTCACTGACCCTCTCTGTCATCTGGGTACATTTACAACTTCAGCCTCCACTCGGATGTTAGCTTTAGCATCGCACGTTAGCATTTGAACTGTTAAAATACCAACACGGCTTTGTAAATTATTACAAATCAAACCACAGAGGGTATTTAAACCGCGGAATCTATGGCAATTATTTTTTCACCCACAAAATAACGTTAACACACTGTTTACAACTAAAATTATACACAAGTAACACTCACGTATATTAGAGTCGGGCGATAGTAGATAACGTCATAAGTGGGCGCGGTGGAGGATTGACGAATCAGAAAGGTCCATTGATGATGCCTTTAGAAGCTATCAGGAATATTAAATACTAATACAAGTTAGGTGATTATCTTTAAAATCTGGTAACCACTTAATATATTTTATGTATTTGAGGGTTAATATCTATATTTTGTTAAATCTATGCTGAAAAAAGAGCGTTTTTTACAAAATGACGATTGTCAATGCATGCGACATTTTAAAGAAAACTTTGAACAAAGCTAGAATGTTTAACAATACGAGTTTCTGGGTAGATTTGAATGCTACATGAAAATAGCTATTTTCCGATTTCATTTGCCGCACATCTTTAAGCTCAAGGTGGGTTGTTTTCATTATATAATACATAATGCTTTGGTACACACAAAGAACGTGTGTTGTAAAAAAACATTGCCTTTATTTATTATTTGTAAAAAACGAAATTGCGCTAATCTGTTTTGGAAAGCAGTCATTTAAAATCATCTTTTGATAAGACATGTTGAGGAGATGCACATCAAATGTATAAGATGGATTTCTACATGTCGACTAAAGAAGCATTGGCCCGTATTCACGGATCATAAGTAACCAGCCAATGTCTTTATATTTACTCAACCAATCAAATAGCCATTCACTTGTCATATGGTATATATCTACGGATGTGCGTTTGTATGTGTAAGACGGCAAATGTGAATATGGCACTTCATAGTCTGCCACTAGTCCGCAGAATCAAAACAATAACAACGTAACATCACGTTTAGATTGATTTACAATCATTTAGGTATGCGTATTACCTTACTCAATTATTAATACATAAAAACAGCCCCTCAAACCTTCACCGTTAAAAGTGTATACACGGAAGGAATCAACTCATCTAGTTTAGGTTTCGTTTTGATGAATTCAAAAGGACTGTACTGTTACCCTGTAGGTGAAAACACGCTTAGGAACAGTGGGAAGAAAATAAATTCTAACAGAAAGAAATGTACAGCAGATCCAGACTCTTGAGTCTTCAGACACACACACACACAAAATAACCTTCACATCTTCAAGTTACAGCACTTGACCCCTCTGCCCCGGGGTTTCTCTCTTTAGTAATACCTTACACTTTTATGTCTGCACCTCCATCTCCCTTCATGTCATCATTATTCCTCTGCTTTTCTCACAGTCGTCTCTTGTTCGTATCATTGTATTTCTGGGGATTCTGTTCCCACCTCTCTGCCAAGCTGGATTTCCTTCAGGTGAAGCATCTGAAGAGAAAGAGGAAGAGCAACTACAGTGTGAGAGAAACTCAGACTCTGATCCGAGAGATCCACAAGAGGAGGGATGTGCTGTTTTCAAGACAGCAGGTGAAGAATTTCATCCGCCGATTCCCTGTTTATTGTTGTCCATTGTTTATCATTATGTTGTCCTCAGAAACACACCATTTAAAGGCTTCGTAGGCTGTTCATAGACCAAGAGTCTAATTGCTTGAACATCTCTTCTGTGCATCTGATAGAATACGGCCATTAATGAGCTGAAGAGACAAGCATGGGAGGAAGTGGCGCGAGGTGTCAACTCTCTAGGTGAGGGTGAGCTGCGAACTGCTGCCGAGGTGTGTTTATTTTTATTTTTGCTCAACATATTTTCACATCTTTACTGCAACTCCACTTGCTTTAAAATTGTTTTTTTTTTCTCTCCCCTCGTATGACTGACAAAAACCTACACACAGTTTTGTTCTTTAGATTAACTAAAGTGGAAAACAAAACAGCCGTGTCCTATTTTTCAATGGTACTCATACAAATGTGTAGTTTTCAGCTTGTCTCAGGTTAAAGCACTGGAGTGTTGATGTCCCAAAAATGAAAACATTAAAGGCTAAACCATGAAATAATGCCATATAGCAGTGTAGCGGTAGCATCACAATTCTGATATCTCGATAAAAACAAATTTCTTTAACTTGTGTGTCCACTCCACAGGTGAAGCGACGTTACCTGGACTGCCGTGCACTGATGAAGAGGAAGCAGCTCCAGGCAGAACTCTCTCTCTCCTCCTCCTCCTCATCATCCTTGGTTCTAAAGACAGAGTATGACGATTCGTCCCCTGTGCACGAGGCAGTGCCTCTGGGATCCGGGTGGGATCAGCTGCAGGACCTTTCAGGCTTCCCAAAGGACAGTCAGTGTGACTGGCCAGAGCTGATGCCTCTGAGCGAGCCCAACGGCCACGCTCTGATAACGCCGGCGGACATGAAAATGGAAAATGATGTCACAGAGTACAGAGTATGTAAAATGTTATGATCATAAATCAATAGTTTATCTATTTATCTAGTTCCTCCTTAAAACATCATACATTAATTAATACAGAAATGCTGACAAGTCAGGCTACTTAAAATGCCTTCGTGCTCATTTCCAATCTGCCGTTTCTAGTAGGACTTAATAAGTATTTATGCTAATGACCTAATCAGCCTAATGAATCCTCTTCCTTACCGTGTTATGTTTAATAACCACAGTAATTTCAAGCACATTATTTACCTCCAAGTAAGAGTCCACTCTTGTTAATGTGCCCTTGTTATAGGATTCTTATCGTAAATGTCCAATTCAACATCTGCCTAATTTTATTTTATTTATTTTTTATTTTTCTTTTCAGTGTGCTGCTTCTCCTTTAAATGTGAATGTAGCCTTAACTTCAAATTTAATGTCACATGTGAGGGGCAAAAAAGTGAAGTATGTTAGTGATCATTAGTCAAGGAGATATTACGTTGTATACCTGTGGTACTGGTACCCTGGTACTGGGCAGCACAGAAAGAATGCATAACTTCCATTATTTCTGTTTTATTTATAATCTGATTCCAAACACTGTTTTATTTTGAAAAAAAATACTGGATTCTCTCCAAAGGATTGGGTCCCAGTTTAGCAGGCACCAAAAACTACCCTACTCCGAAGGCACATGACCAAGGAGCTGTCGACTGACCTTAGGTATCAGAGATACCTCCAGAGAGTAATTTCCATAATTGAACTAATTGTGAGTGCTTAAAAATACTAAAACAAGGTAACTTGTTGATTAGGGTCATTGTTAAGGTTATGACGTTATGTAAAGTGCATTTTTGATTTCAGTGTATATTGAACACATCAACATGCAGTAGTGTAATATTTAGCGTGCTGCATTCACACGATCAACTCAACGTTCCACGTTTCTAGGCAATCTATCTACTTCCGGTAGCCCCGGAGCTAATGTTAGCTTTGGCCATGCTACAGGCATGGTTCGGAAAAAAAGTAGTTGGCCAGGCTACAGGCATGGTTCGGAAAAAAAGTATTTATTTAATTAAAAGTGAAAAAAAAAATCTTTCTGTGTAAAATATCCCATGTTACAACGTGGACACCTGTGGCTAATAGAGAAATGTGGCCTATATGTGTACAATTATTTTTTTCTTTTTAAATTTAGTGGGTGCGGCTTATATTCAGGTGCGCTCAATAGTCCGGGAATTATGGTAACAGGTTTTTACATTAAGTCAGATTAATTTGGTCCATTCACAAACATGACCTGGCAGGCAATGCAAAGGGCCTTAGGGACACATGTGGCCCAGGAGCCACAGGTTGCAGACCAGTGCACTGCACTGCTCCTACCTGGTTTAAAAGTACATGAAGAACAAAATAATTTGTTGTTGAAGTTTGTTGTGTGTCGATCTCACCACATGCAGTTTCCAGTGTAAATGAAGACAAATCACTTACAATGATGCACTAAGAAGAAAATGCATGTGATCATCTAATCCAAAACACATTTTGGTGTCTGACACATAAAAATCTGAATTATGCTGCAATGATGCACTAAGAAAAAAATGCATGTGATCATCTAAAGTGAATCCAAAACACACTTTGGTGTCTGACACATAAAAATCTGAATTATGCTGCAGAAATGTGAGTGTTATGGCCTGGTGTCAAGGCTGTCGTTCTTATTGCGCATATTTGTTTTAGTTTTGCACAATTTACTGCAAAACTGTGAAACTGTTATGAGAAATTTGTGGATCGTAAATGTAACGAAGCCAATGTCTCACTGCAGCTGGATGGAGATGTGGGAGACGGAGAAGAAGAAATTGATGAAGATGACATCCCCTCGCTCCTCAGCGACATCGAGTCTCACAGCGAGGGGCATGTTGGTGATGTGTATTTACACAACGGCGTGGACACGCTCGGCTCCTCCGCCAAGGCTCCGACATCGACCACCAACAGAGACCTGCCGACGGCTCACGGCCTCATTGGGTACCAGCCCACTGCTGGCTGTGGAAACAGAACGTCTGGACGTGGAGAAAGAGCGGCTGGCGGTAGAGAAGGAGCGACTTCAACACGTAGAAGTGGAGAGGGAACGTCTGCAGCTGGAGAAAGAGAGGCTTTTGGTGGAGAGAGAGAGACTGCGGCTTCTGTTCCTGAGTCACTCCGAACTTGTGGACTCCTCTTCTAACCTGCCGTCGCAGCAGGGCCCGCCTTCATCGTCCACGCCCTCGTCATCCTGTACTCAGAGGGAGAGGGAGAGCGATGGAGAGAGGTGGACGAGAGCGGTGGACCTGGAGACGGAGAGGATGAAACTGGAGAAGGAGAGGCTGCAGCTGGAGAAAGAGAGACTCCAGTTTTTCAGATTTGAAGCCAGCAGATTGCAGATAGAGAGAGAACGCCTCCAGGTGGAGAAGGAGAGAATGCAACTGCTCAGAGATCACCAGAGTCACTGAGCAAAAAAAAGTCTGTGAGAAGGTGGAGAGTGGAAGTTATGAATAAATTACATATGATTACACTTCTTGGATTAGTAATTAAATAAATAAAAAAAGATTCAGCGTTTGCTTCGGCATCTGCTCCTTAATCAGTTCAATTTGTCACACACACACACACACATCGTGAGGAGGGTGTGAGCTATTTAGATGATTGAGACTGAATAACATTTGGCCAATGACAGGACAGAGATTAAGGGTTGTTGTATTTATGACCAGGATACTTCATCAGTGCCTCGTTATGTCTTTAATAAAAAACGTGACTAGACACTGAAGGTGCCGTGAAAACAACATCTCGTCCAGTGTTATCCTGTTAATGTCTAATTAAAGTGAATATTTAGTAAATACGCATTTGATTTTATCATTAAAAATGCAATTGTTATTGTTTAACAAAAACTAAATATACACAAAACCAAAAATGTTTGAAGTGATTCGGGTGGTGCGACGCTAATTTTAAGTGACGGACCTGGACCGCAGGCAGGCCAGTCCAGCACAAACAGTCTTTGCCTACACTTTTGTAATCGTAGCGTCCAAGTGGCTACGGCTGTCAGAGCAGCATTTTCTTTTACACAGTTTTCCGTCAACATTTGAAATGATCAACTGTGACGTGTGTTGCATGACTTTACAGGGAAGCAGACAATAATAATAATAATAATAATGGAATCCTTTGCTAAATACCTGTATACGAGTGTCCCTTATTTTATATTTTGTTAATTTCCACTGGTATTCTGCAGCACCGCACTCTTGTAGATTGGACTGTTGTTAAGCCCCGCCCCCTATGTCACCGAATTCACAGCTACATCAACAAATCTCCACTAAACTTTATTTAAAAATAATGTAACTTTTACAGTTACAAATCAGTGCAACTTTCCCACTGTGAATTAATACATTTATTGTTTAAATTTGCAATATCTCCATGCACCCTGTGGGTGCCCCCGCCCTCACTGACCCCTGGGAACCGCTGACCGTAAACGTATCCTGTTTATGACACATATTTTATCTTCAGTCAAATTTGTAAAGGCCCAATGTACAGCACAATACACAAATATAACTGCCTTTAACCCTGCTATACTTCACTACTACTCTGTGTATTTGTAACTGTACCACTTCATACAGTTCTTGTGTATTTGTGCTGCTGACTGCATGTACTGTAGGTTTAAGTAAACATGATTTTCAGACAGATTTTGTGTCGGTGAAAACTGAATAAAACATGTATCATTCAATAAAGGTATTTCTAAAATAGTGTTTTGATATTTATTTTGTACAACAAAGCTGATCATCGTTTGTGATTTGATTGTCTTTCCCTCCTCCGAGGTTATTTAATGGCTGTAATATTGATTTTTATATACTTAGATGACCTTAGTCACATCACATGAAAGGTTTGATTTGACTTGCCGGCAGTCAAGCACACACTCTGTAAATATATGGGATCATGTCAAGTGTATATTCCTGCAATAAAAAAAAAGAACAAATAGCTAAGGATTACTTATATTTTTAAAGTGTTATTAAAGTTTTAGCTAAATTGTCACAGTGAGTGGAGGGTAGGATCTGCACTTATGGGATTAAATAGGCTGTCAAATACTTTAAAAAGCACTCTGGGGATGTTTATACCCAGCTGAAATACATTTAAGAGTGTGTACTGAAGTGTTGCCTTTTCAGCCTGCAGGAATAGAGTGAATGTTAATTTAATGCATTTTTTTTTTTAAGGATGAGAGGTTTCTGGTGGCAACGCAGCAAATATCCAATTTTTCACTCAAAAAGAAAGTTGAATATTTATGAGCTTTAACTCCAAGGAAGTTTGTTCCATTTGATTTGCGGAAATACATTTCATCCCATTGGTCTGCTAACTGTGTGCTAGTTGCGACACGGAATAATCTGCATGAAGGATGTGGATGAGGCCATAGCAAACTGGCCTAGACTAGCCCGTTTACTGCACAGAAGCTAATTCACTGCTGCTGCTTGGAAATAAAGGTCAAAACATCGAGTAGCACGGGAAATAAATAAAGAGCGACAAATTTGTTTAAATAAGAAGGGCTGTGATGCTGAGAGAGCGTGAGGAAATGATGCACTGTAAAATAGAAAATCAAAATAAAAGGCAAGGTGACACAAAAGCGTGCGAGTGTGCGTGTGGTCGTGAAGGCTTGTGGACGCGCACAAGTCGAGGTGTGAGGTTAAACAGGCTGTGGGAGTTTGTCCGTGTGTGAGAAAGAGAGAGAGAAGGAGAGGGAGAGAGTGAGGAGTGAGGTGGGAAATAATGGGAAATGCTTGTCAGTGATGGCTCTACATTAGTTGTGTTAGGTCTCTGTGGATTGAAAAAAAAAAAAAAGAGCCCAGATGACAAAATCACAGCAGGGAATTCTTAACCACACAGCTACTGCTACTGCTGTTACTTCTCCACAGAGAAGATACCTCACAAGCACAGAGCTGCCCTTTAGCAAATGTTATCCTTGAAAACATTGTCTCTGCTTTTTAACTCAAAACACTTTTATAGCCTAAAATTTAGCTCAGACAAAAAGAAGGCCACATTTTAGGATACATATATATACATATACATATATATAAATATATATATATATTTAATATATATTTATATATATTTTAAAATGCACTTGAAGAGAATAACATGGGAGACACAAGGTATTCCTTTCCGGCAAATAAATACAAAACAAAAGCAACAAATGCCTTCTTGACAAACTGTTCAATGACCTACTAGGGTTGGAGTTGGGGGTTCAAGCCTAAAACCTATCAAGTGCAGGGAAAATCCCAAAAACCAGTGCCCAAGTATTACCGCATATTACACTATTAGTGCTAACTTAAACAGAATAAAAACCAACATTTAACATAGACACAAGCAAGCAACATAGAACAATAAGAATCCCAAACGTCAGCTGACCAGCGGATAAATAACCAGACGGACACGTAGGGCTTCATAAGCGTTGTTGTTTTTACTAGAAAAAGAAAACAAAATGGACAAAGAGAAATAAAAGAAGAAAGTAACAATGTTTTTATTCAGCAGTCAGCGTTTGCTGCAATATCATATACCGGGAATGGCAAAGAAATAATACACCTGTGTCGTGTTGTCATTCACTACCTGTGTGTCCGCTGTCCACTGTGGGCACTGCTAACTGTGTTTACCTAGTGCGTCTTTGATAGAAAGTCCATTCCTGTGCAGGTTGATTGCTGTGATCTTATATTGGAGGGTGTGTGTGCGTTTTCTGACAGAACAATTTCAAGCAAATGTTAGGGTGAAATCTCACAGATCGAATGCAATTATTCTAACAATGACCCAGTGAGTTAGATCCTCGACTGTTGACCTCTCTGTCTGAGTTTTTGAGTCATTCGTTGTTCATGTTGCCAAATGCTGTCACTCGCTTTCGCGCTTCATTCGGGGCTTTGTCTCGTAGCCGGACGGGGGAGAAGATGAAAGAAGAAAAGAAAAAAGAGAGAGAGGCGGGAGGCAGGATAAAAATGCATGAGAATATATAAACCCAGGCAGGTCGAGCAAGGTTGTCACAATCTTCACTGGTGTTCTGTCCCAGTACATGCCAACTGACGGAGCATCTGAATTTCAACACACCGATACCAATAACAGTATTGGTACGGGTATTGTTTGCTATGGTAGGCCAACAATGTCAGCAGTTTGGCTGCATTTCTACATCAGAAACCGAGACATGAGCTACACTTACTGTAAGATTTGTTCTGTTACCTAAAATCTGAAAATACCTGAAGACGAACCTCAGCGCCAAATGTGCTAACGCCTCTTCCACAAGGGATAGACGAGGCGTTTACGGCCCACCGAGTCACCTTTTTGTTGAGACGCAATTACCTAACATTGTGGGTGTTTTCAACTGAAATGCTACACAGTGTAACCTAACATTGTGGGTCATTTTGATTATCGAAACATGATAAGTCGTGCTATTCAGTTTTACGTGACTGTTTTCAACTGAAATGCTACACAGTGTTCCCTCTCTATATCGCGGTTCTCCTCCCGCTCCCTCAGTACATCGCAGAATTTTTAAAAATCTGACCTCGCGAAACTTCCGCTATATCCCAATATATATATAGCAAAAAAAAGACGCTATAAATATATATATTATTACATACTTAAGTAATAACAATGTATATAATTATATATACATACATTATACATACTTAAGTTTTGGCTTTAAAAATGTGGATTCTCGTTTTGAAATTGAGGCAAGATCATTTACGAACGATCGCTGGTAGCTTCGTTTACCTAGACGAGATGTTACTGCTATGTATTGTCTAACGTGACGACAGTATCACCTTAAAGTGTTTTTTAAAATTTAATACAGAAATATCGGTTTCATTTTTTATTGAAATATTCTTCTGTTAATGAAAAGGGAATAAAACTGTTTTGTTTAGCACTTCCTGCTTGTGCTCACTGCGGTTCACCCAACCACTGTATGTCACCCTATTTCCAACAGAGCTGTGGCAGGTTTACAACACTGCCCTCTAGGTCATTGCATATATAATGAAAACCAACCTACAGAAGTATTGGTATGGTACTCGGTGATGGCGAGTACAAAAATGAATATACTCATATCAGTTTATTGAAAATAGTATGGGGAACAACCCTAATCTGAACTCACTACTAAAGCTGACTCACAAGATGAGGGAAGACAAAGCATGAAACCCAGATGAAACGCAACCAAAAATACTACACTTCTCAGATATCAGACATGGTATTTTTTTTTCCACAGTGAAGGGATTTGACCAAAACCCGCCAGGCAGGTGCTTCTTCCCTATTTACACGCTCGAACAGGGACGCTTTTAAGCCGAACAACATAGAGATTTGAAGGAAACTCTCCGATTTTGAAAAGCAGCGAATGAGTAAACAAACAAACAGGCAGAAAAAAAAAAAAAAAACAACAACCCACAAACTCAAATTCATCCACACTCCTCATGGAGCTGGACGACCTTTCTGACCTGACCCTGTGTGTACAGCGATGAGTGAGCGTGCATCACAATGAGTGTGTCCGTGTGTGTGTGTTGCAGATGGACATTCGGTGTTGAGGAGGACGCTCAAAGACAATGACAAATTGTTATTATGTTATTAAAAAAAAATAGCCTTATAACACGACGTCGGCCACGGCCTCTGACAATCAGTGATCAATGAGTTCTAGAGCTCTCTATAGATATATATATATATATATTTTATTTTTATATATAATATGTAGATTCATAAAAAAATGATTCTTTTGTATTAATTACAAGGAGTGGCATTTTCTTTAATATTCCGTTATTGCAATGAATCGTTACCTAAGATGATTTTTTTTTTTTTAAAAAAAGACAGGTGAGCTCTGTTTTGCTACGCACTTATTTACAACAGTTTTTCTTAGAAAAGCAAGCCTTCTGATGATGTGCCTTTACCAATAACAGGAAAAGACAATGAATCTAAAAAAAAAAAAAACAAAAAAAAAAAACAACCCCAACCCGACCCACCAAAAAAATTGCCATCGTAGTCGTTCTCTGGGGCAGATACCGCAGTTTGTATCAGTAAATCTATAATTTTCAGTATTAATGAGGTGGATTCATTTTAGAACAATTTTTGAGTTACAGGCCTAAAGCCAGAAACATGAAGACTGAGGTTTTTTTTCTTCGTTTTTTTTTTTGCACAGTTGATATAACATGTTTTTAACCAGATTTAACACAATATCCTCCTAAGTTTTCAATTTGTTTTAGTAGACATTCATTATTTGCATCTAGCTTTGGATCGATCATCCCAATGTGGTGCTGACTGGTTCTGCCACTCCTGAAAAAGAAAAAAAAAAAAAGGGAAATAATTTGTTCAGATTTCTTCTTCCGTTGTGATGTTTGTTGGTGACAGCTATGGCTAAAATTAGCACAAAAAAAAAACAAACAAAAAAAATTTAAGAATTTCCGAGGTTATTTCTGTTATATATTGGCTAATTATCTCGTGAGTTCCATGACGAGATATCATTCTAATATGTGTAGTAAGAAAGTAGTGAAACAGTCCATGGCAAAGAAGTGGGTTTGTCACAGTCCAACAACAAGCTTACAGTTTTCTGGTCTTCTACGGGTGATGGTGCCTGGCACTCAGTCTTTGCAGGCGTTGACACGTTTGATGGATGGCCGTGACACACATGATGAAAACCATGTCAGTAGTCTCTGTAAGGCATTGTCAAAGAGTGTGGCTGATCGGCATCCGTGTCGTCCAATGAAAACTGAGCACAAACAGGACAGTGTGGTATCTTTCTCTCTCTCTCTCTCTCTCGTTCTCTAACCATTAAAAAAAAAGTAAAGTCATTTGTGATCATCATCTTCATCTTAAAAAAAAAATTAAAGTCATTTGTGATCATCATCTTCATCACTATCATCGTCATCATCATAGTCAGGTGTTTGAAGCCTGGGGCGTGGAAAATGGGGGGGGAAAGGAGAAGGATTCTAGGGGCCCGTGATTGGGGGGGGCGGGGCTTAGAGGGGCCCTCAATAAAATTAGAATAACCTCCTAGAATAACCTCCTTGCTTGGCTTGCTTGGCTGTGTTGGGATTTCCTGGACATCTGCGTTGGCTTTCCTCTTGTTTTGAAGATATCGGGACAATATCTCCCCCCATCACCCGCTCCAAAAGAGTTGCAGCCAATCATAATAGTTCATTCATCCCCTCCCGTCCCCGCCCCTACCCACTTCACTGGTGAACATGTCAATGCACAGTCTTATATCTCTTGTAAAATAGGTCTATGGCAACAGGAAAAGTGAAATGGCGATGTGCAGTGTCGGTGTATTCAAGTATGTGTGTTTAAGTATTTGTGTGTTGAGCTTAGCTTTATGCATGTGTGTGTGATTGAATGGTACTGTATGTTCGTATGTATGCACATATAGATGTCTGTGTGTGTTTGTGTGTGTGTGTGTTTGTCCGTTTCATAGTCTGTATGCGTGTTAATAAGGCACGGGAGGTGTTTTTGGTTTTCAGGGCAGTCCGGAGGAGACCACTGCAAGGCCGGGGTGTCGGAGGGAGGCGTGGCCGGCATGCACAGCTTTGGGGCAGTCTGGCGTCAGGACACGGCCGTTCTCCCCCACACTTCCTGTGATGGACAGACGGGCCTTGTTCCGCATGGCTTCAGAAAACGACAGCTACAGTGTATGAATGGGTACAGGAGACAGAAGATTGTTGTTGTTAATAATAGATATGTGGGGCTCGCGTGACAGCAGTGCAGCACTTAAAAAAAACAAACAAACAAGAAGAAGAAAGAAACAAACAAGCAAAAAAAAAAAAAAAATGCATGCAGGTATTTCACGTGCATACACACCAGGTACGGCCCAGCACCTTAGTGAACAGTCTGAGGGCTGCAGTCACACACATTGCATAATAGCGATATATAGTCAAACTAGAGCGTCAAAATGAAAATTTTAATGGCGTAAATACATTTGTAAATAATAAATAATCTGATTAAAATGTTATATTGATTTTTTTATGCAAGGCTTGCATCAGACCACACTCACCAATCACAGCGCTCACTCCAATCACTCTATTAACTCACTGAGGAAATTAAGGATGAATTAATCCTCAATCAATCAATTAATGAATGAATGAATTTGAGAAATAAAAGGTTTTAAATCATATTTAGGAATGTTGATTGATATCAATTAATCATGATTAATTCACCGCTAACTTTTGATTAATCACATTTTTAAAAAGTGATTGACAGCCCTTATTCAAATTAATAATAATAACAACAACAACAACAACAATAATAATAATAATAATAATAATAATAAAATCCTTGACCTGAAATCAATATTTTTGGCCCAAAGTCAAGGGCTTATTATTAAACTAGTGAAACACTAATTTACCGGACATTTAAAATCCGCTCATCGGTGGTGTCAGTGTTAAGTGGTGTGAATGCATCCCATATCTGCTCACATTAAAGCGCTGTCACACTGACCAAATGCTCGCACCACAAAGTAACGACAAAAAACAGGCAACGTTCACCGACATGGGCAGGTGGAACCGAGGTCGTAGACATCTGCATTTCACAGGTGACCATGCATTTATCTGGGCAGGAGAAAATCTGACGGATTCCAGTAAGGATTTACAAGGGAAAAGGCTTCGGAAGGTGAAGACTTTGGGGGGGAAAAAAGGAAAAGCAGTGAAGGAATGAGTTTTGGTTTCAAGGGTTTATAGAGAGGGTTTGACTGACTATATCGCTCAGAGCTGGGGGATTCTCTATAAAAATGGGTTATTTTTTTTTTGGGTCAATTCTTATTGTAAGATACAAATTCTTTGCTGTTGCACAATTGACGGATACTGTCATTACCACTAAACCTGACTTTTTTTCTGAGTTTTTTGTCAGAAAGAAGATAAGTGTATTTTCCGACTAATATTAAAATTGATAGCCCATTGTTGGTTTTATTTATTTATTTTTTTAAAGAAAAAAAAAATCTTTCATACCTGTGATATATTTAGATTTATTTCTATAAAGCAAACTGTTGACAGTGATCCAAATTCGCTACACTTTCTGTTTTTGCCTTCAAAGAGGAGCTCAGTCCAAGTGTACCATTCTCACGTTGAAGTCAATTAGAAAAAATATATTAATTAATCTTTTTTTTTATATAATTAACGATACTTTTGCAACTCCAAACTTTATTTCTGGACGTAAGTCAGACAAATATGGCGTCTGTCCAGAGTTTTACTGCAGACCTTGAGAATAAATAAAGATTTTTTTAGGAGCCGCTGTTATTGCTTCTGAGCTCGGTCCAAACTGCTCCACTCTCTAAAGTGGCCTGTTTGAGATACAGTTGGTATTTCACTTTTATTGGGTACTGATACTTCCCAACAGATAGCGGCTATTAATTAGTCCACCGCATTTCACTATCTTAACTGTGCTTCCTTTGTATCGATCTTGCCAAATGTGGAACGACGGTCATTAAATATGACTTTGTAAATGTGGCTTTGCTTTAGCAGCTCAACCAAAATGAAGTTCTCTGTACACAGATCTTTGCGCTTTTCTCGGCCACACAGTGGGTTTCACGCAAGACAATATTCTCAGTTGTCGAGGGGGCGACACACTAAAATGGTCAAACCACTGTTAAAGAAGTTTGAAGTCGTACGTAAAACCGCTACATACTGCTGAATACAGAGAGGGTTTGTCACGTAAGAATTAGCTGTCGTGCTTATTCTAAATAATAATAAATAATGCTATTTATTCCAAAAGTCAGTGTCCTGGTGCTGGTCCACGACCCGATGGTTGGGGACCTCTGCCTAGGGTATCGTCTTTTTACATCACTTTATGTAGCCTGTATTTTTACATCACCATTATTGGCTGTTCTTTTTTCATTTTTTTTTTTAAATTTTTAAATATTATTTTAGGTTTACACAACAGACCAGGGCTTATTTTTCATCAAAATAGTAAATTAACTATTAATTCATAGTAAAAATGAAAAAAAAATGTTGCTGAAAATATAAATATAGTTTATCTAATTTTATTTGATCGTTTATTGTTTAACTCAATACAATAAAAATAATTTAATATTTACTGACAAGATTGCCTTGAGTTATCAGGGACAAGGTTAAGAGCTGTATTTTTTTTTAAATGTTTAAATGCTTTAATGTTTATCACTAACTTGACGCTGTAATAAAAAAAAAACAACAACAACTGAAAAGCCAATTAATTTTCAGCTGGAAGCAGACTCATGGCAAACCCAAACATACATAAATGGCTGTTCAGAATAAGTAGGTCACTTCTAAATACTTTAGTTGTCAAGCGCTTACTGAAATATTAGCATCAGGCAGCATTGTTTAGGTTTTAGGCAATAAAAGGGAATGAATTCTATTGGCTGTGGTCTTGAAGATAACATGCAAAAACGGGACTTGGTGGAGTTTTCCACTGCATTTTCCCGCCATTAATGGGATTTCATTTTTAATGAGGTTATTGTTGAAAGTCAAATGAGCAAGTTAGTTGATGAGGTCAGACGTGATTGGCATTCTGTGGTAGTTTGTAGCAATGTTCTCTGAATGACTGCAATACAAAAACAAAAAAACAAAAAACAACTTGTTGATATTCCAGGCGTACTGCTACATACTACTGTTAATTTTCCAATGCAGGTGCCTAGTCAAGTACTGTGCAAAGCACATCATCATCATCATCATCATCATCATCATCTGCAGCCAAAGACGATGGAACCAAAGCTGTGATAACACAACGATTTAAAAACAAAACAAAAAATGTAACCAAATAAACATAATTTAAAAAAACAGGCAAAAAAAGTGAACGGAATGAAACGTGTTAGACTGTAAAGTAAGTTAACGAAGCGAAATCGATGGAAAAAACCAACACAAAGAGCTACACTGGTTCCACAATGCTTGACCACATCCTTATCAACACATGACGGATGGCGCGGTTGCGTGTGGCTGCTGCGACAGCCTCTACACGGACAAATACAGTAATCTACAGCACCACCACCACATCATCAACATCAACCATTACCCCACCTAGATATGGCAGCCTCTAAATCCTACCCCTATATCTTGACCCCCTCGGAGCCGTACACGTTGTACCCCTCCCTATAAGTGGCTAGATTCTGGGTGCTGGGGGAGGGGCTGGGGCAGTGGGGGGGACTAAGGTCCACCTTCATGCGCTTGGCTTCGGCCCGGGACTTGTAGCAGAACTCGACCAGGGCCACCAGCATGGCCAGCCCGAGGCCGCCGACCAGGATGTAGAAGACCCCGGCCACATTGGACAGGCTCAGGGCCTGTGAAGACTTGTCCTGAAGAGAGACAGAGACAGAGAGAGAGAGAGAGAGAGAGAGAGAGAGAGAGAGAAAGAGAGAGAGGGGAAAAAGAAAGAGGGAGAGAGAGGGGGGTGAGAGAAAGAAAAAAAGAAAGAAAGAAAGAAAGAGAGAGAGAGAAAGAGACAAAGAAAGAGAAAGAGGTGAGAGAGAGGAGAGAAATAGAGAGGGGGAGTGAAAGGGAGAGGGAGAGAGAAAGAAAGAGAGAGAGAGAGAGAGATGTCCAGGACAAGTGTTGGCGGAGTTAAAGAAAAGGTTAAGAGGTGAGGTTAGTAAAGGTAAGCTCATGAAAAAGTGACGTCACGAGGAGGTGAAATGAAAGTTGCAGAGAGTGTGGTGATGAGAGAGGTGAAGGAGAAGCAGGAGGACAATAGGAGACGGAGCAGGGAGGGTGGACGTTGAGAGAACAGATAAGAGGCAGGAAAAAGCGAACAGAGAGAAAAAAAAAACAGAAAAAAGAAATAGAAATCGTTAGAGACAATTAACAGCATGAGCCACATTTGAACATCACATACAACAATGCTAAGCTAGTTGACATTACTGTGATACGATTACCACTACTGTTACAACACAATAAGATCAGCACAAACACTAAATCATTTCTACAAATCAAACCAAAGCAGCTTTAAATCTGATTGGATAACATCACTCTGTCCACTTAAATCTGAACTTAAAGCCTTAAACCTGGTTTAATACGTGCACTTTAATTGCCAGGTTACATATTAGCAAGTATCTGACTATGACCACCTGTCAGCCTGAATGAATACTGAATGTTTCGAGTGCCGAGAGATGCGGTATGAGTTAGCTGCAAACGTTTTTAGCATTGATGTGAAAAAGTGGTAGCGCTTTATTTCACGGTTCCTGTCATTGGCTCACTCATTTCGGAACAAGGTGATTCGGTTGAGGTTACACGTATTATTCTTGTTATTTATTTTTTAAAGGAATAATAAAAAATAAAAAAAACCTCAACCTTCAGCACTGAATTAATAAAACATTTCTCCATCAATATGTCAGCCTTTCTGCTGAGCAAATATTTGTCCGCCAATTATCCCTTTTCACCGGGCAGTTGACCTGCTCTGCGCTGCATTTTTGAATATTTAATACTTTTTAAACATTTGCCTGTGGTGAGTTATTAAAAAGCCGGCATCTGCCTGTAAAATAAAGCCTTACCAAGCCTCGTCTTAATACTGACTGAATGTGAATCATGAAATAAAAGCCAACATCATCCGGTGTGTTACTGCTAAAGCCAAAAACACATCATAACTGGTGGATCAAAAACAAAAACAAAAAAAGTGAGAATGGAAATTTGCAAATGATAATCAAAAAATTCTTCATCAATTCCCTCGGCTGACTGTGATGAAGATGGGTGTGCCACAGATTGCTACAGAGACTGAGTAAGAAATCAATTTGATGTTGATTTAGTTCAACTTGATCCACCATTAAAATTCAAACCAGAAAAAATAAGTAATTTATCAAAGAAGAAGAAGAAGAAAAAAAAAAAAAAGGCTGGTGCAGTTCGAGTAATTCAAAGTATCTTTTGGTGATTAAAAATGCTACAAGTCTAAGACAGCAGTTGCAGTAATCTGGAGCGTATTCAGGAGGATGAGAGTTAGCAGCTAGAGGTCTGTGGGCCACAGCAGTGTGAGACTGACCTTACTTCCAGAGTCCTTGGGTCCACACTCTCCTTTGTCATACCACCATTTGTTTTTCAGTTTGTCTAAGACGCCTGCTTCGCTCAGTTTCAATACTGCAAGGTTTACTGGGGTTCTTCGCGTGTAAAAATAACATAAATAACATCATAGGTCATGTTATTTTATGTTATTAGGGTAATTCACATTTGCATTGCATGACAGCTCAGTCAGTCACAGAGAAATTGTTCAACATCAAGTGACCTAGGACGGATCCCACTGAGTACATGTGTGTAGGCTCGATCAGGAGGGGCCGGAGGGCGGGGGGCGGGACGAGAGGAGCTACGGCGAGCTACAGACATATGAGTGGGACCCGCCTTTGTCACTTCTGGTAACACACCCATGCTGCCCCAGCTGTTACTACGACAAACACAGGCTGGTACTGTCAGTCCAGGACTGCTGGCTCCAGCCTGTGTGCCAAGGACTGGGACGAAACAAAATCTTCAATAAAAAGAAAAGCTTTCTTCTCACTTTGATCCTTTGAAAAGAATTGTTCGGTCGAGATCTATAAGCTTCACCAATGAACACGGCATCCAGCCGAGAGTGTGTGACACAACACAGGTGTGATGTTCAACAATGCTGCCGGCCACAACACAATATGTGACCTCAGGTTTTGAACACAGCGGGGCCTCGAGATACAGGTTTCATCCGTTCCACAACAGCACTCGTATCTCGATTGCATTTTCCCCATTGAAAATAACTAAAAAACGATTAATCCGTTCCAGCTCCCCAGAAATATACTATTAACTAATTAAATTAATTTTTCTCCCCTATATAAATATAAAAAACATAGATATAAATAAATGTATTGGAAGTATAAAATAATAATAATTAAGATAACATTTCATATTATTGTTTTAAAAATTGGTAAAATAACCCAGCGAGGGACAGTGAGAGAGACCACCAAGAGAAGGACTGGGACTGAGGACTAGATTTAGATAAATGCAGTGGGCGAGACAGCGCGACAGTGTCGAGAGGAAAAATGGAGTCCGTTTGAGGACTCGTAACTCGATGTTTCCTCGTAAATCATGCAAAAGTTGCTTACTCGTAACTTGGAAAATCTCGGGGCGCCATTGCATGAATAATGCTAAGCTCGATGCGAACATCAGTGATCGTGCGTGTTCAAGAGCCCGTTGTGCGTTAACACTGCAGACAGGGCCGTTGTTTTGCGTTGTTTTATTTGGAACTTTACATTCTTGAAACGCTGCTAAAATCGCATTTTAGAGGCTCAGTTGTGCGGATGTGTGGCATGCAGGTTTGATTCCACCGCCTAATCCAAGGTCGGACGGTGTCAGGAGTCGCACCCCGTGCAAGAATGGGTCAATGCGCCCTACTGCCGTGACGACCCACTAATGAAGACTATTGTTAAAAGTGTGAAATAGTTTTTCAGCATTACTGCTACTCCCCAAAATCATGTTTTACTTCATAAAATACCCTCGGAGAAGTGGCCATTCATTATGTATATTCAAAAGGCTCTCTGAATATTTGTTTGATGAAATGTCAGCTTGTGAATTCTCTTAAAAGAGCTGCGAAGACGTCCTCGCCCTGATTGCATCAGATACTGTAATCCATCAACGGGATAAAAGGAATCCGAGACCCTTTCATTCTCCCAGCGAACCTCTTATGACCTGTTTCTGTCTGAAAAGCAATTCCGACTTTCGGCCCTGGGACGAATGATGTTCAACTTGGAGTTTTTCAGCAATCCCTGCTTTTTGACTCGCATCTCATCTCTCACACCCACAACGCTAACAACAGATACCGTGCTCATTGGTTACTCATAGAGTTCTCTGCTGTGACCTCTACCCTCCCCGCTGGGGCAGATGCATGCGTTACACACTGCGGACAGCGACCGTTGCGGCTGCCCCGGCCACAGAACGGCCTCTGTCCCTCAGTGGTGGGTTGGGCAGACAGAGAGGGCTAACCTTGGAATCCCCTCCCCCGCTGCCACATTCTCCTTTGTCATACCACCACTTGTTTTTCAATTTGTCCAACAGGCCCTGCTCGTTGAGCTTTAGCACGGCCAGGTTGACCGCATTTCTTTAGGTGGAAAAAGGAGGGGACAAATAAGATAGTTTTGTCAGAGCAGAGGATGGACGGATGGACAGACAAACAAGACACGATGGAGGTGGGGGCCACAGCCAGGTAGAACGGAGGGGAGGGGACGGGGAGGGGGCCACAGAAAGGGGGAGAATCAGAGGAGCCGACCAGACCAAGGTGGGTAAGTGGGGACAGATACACTCCAAACAACTCCTGTTTCTTCTCTGTCTCTTTGGTTTTCTTTTCTTGTTTGGATATTTTTGTTTGGAGCTCTGTGTGTTTTATCTTTAAATTTCTCTCTTGTTTTTCTCTTTTTTTTCCCTCCCAGGCTAACGCTGTCAGAGGTTGCTTCACAGCCTGAGTCAGATTATTGTATAAACTGTGTTAACCAGGTCTCTGCAGCCCGCTGGTGTTGCACCGCCTGTGCCTGCTGTGTGTGTGTGTGTGTGTGTGTGTTTGTGCACAAATTTTGACCGTATGCCTAGAGCGTCCCGCAGCCGTCTTGCTCACACCCCTGGAGGAAGTGACCTCCAAACCAAATTCAGGGACATGGTTGCTAAAAAAAAAAGGTGCTATAAACATTACCACTACAATAATACAGAATGACATTATTCACGGTTTGCTGCAAAAATGGTGACAATTATTTTTTAGCATTTTTTTTTTTTAAGTATATTAAAATGAGAATACGAACATTCTAATTCATACATTACAAGCTGTGATGTTCTAAAGATAAAGGAGCTACATTGTTTAATGATAACGCTCAATGGCAGGAAATTACCCAGAAGGCTTTTAAGAGATGACAAACTGGATATCTCGTATTGTATAATATCTCTAATTTAATTTCATCTGCCGGAGAACTTCTACGAGCCCCATTAGAGGCTCTTACTGGAGAAGGAAGAGGGAAAAGAAAAGCAGCGAGTGAGGACAGAGTCTCTGAGTAAAGCTAACCAAGAGATTCAGAGAGAGAGACAGCGTCCTTTGGGGTGATCACGGGCACGAGACAGGCAGTGACCGACAACGTGGATGAAAACAGTTAAAAAAAATATCTGTGAGTGTCATGGTTGGAAAATGGGCACATATCAACAATCAAACCACAGGTATTTATACTGCAGGGAGTAAAACATCCATAATCATTCACCATTCACGTCTTCAATCGTCAATCGGGCACTTATCCTCCTCATCAACACGGCTAATTCAAAATTAACTCTAATCAGTGCAGTAAAAGGAGAGGCAGGGACACCTTACGTGCACACTCCCAGCCACGTGCGCGTGCGTGTGTTTGTGTGTACATCTGGTAGCAAGGGTTTCCACTGATTGAGAGAAGGCGGAGAGACAGCCGTGGACAGTCCCAGGAATGTGATTGGAGGCCTTAAAAAAACGGGAACACGATCCACTCGCTGTCACTGTCACTTTCTCCCCCTCAAATGGAAAAAAAAAAATTCTTATTTTTTTGGTATTGACAACATGTAAACTACGGAGACCGTAATTGTCACGGGGGCTTGTTTGCACCACACACAGGGGGAAGTTATAGTGACAGGATGTGAGGTCGACGTGTCACTTTATGGAGAGGTGACGGTCGGCAGAGGCGGAGGATCATCCTTTTTTCAATCAAGTTATTGGGATGCAGGAATAACCGTGACACAGTCGGGGGAAATTAGAAAAAACTGGATAACTGTTGGTAAAAAAAAAAATTATCTTTTCATTCTTCGCAACTCCTGTGCTGTTTAGACATAAAACGACCTTTTATATTTGGACTGCAAATATATAGATATATATGTTTTTTTACAATTTCTTAAAGATGCAAAATGAGCACCTACATTGGAATTAATGTGTTTACATCAAGCCCCCCCCCCATCATCAGGGCCCCTCTACTTCCTATTTACCAGCAGTTGGTTTCTGTACATCTATAAATTCCCCCTTGTGGCCATGTATGTAGTGGCATCAGTCTGAGGTGCTGCCTCTCCTTACAATCAGTGTAAACAGTTTCAAATTTTCAGCATCATCATCATAATCATCATCATCATCATCATCAATAAAATAATCATTTCTCATCAAGACGCAGACCAAAAAACACAAGACAGCGGACAAATGGACATGGAGTTACCTGTACGGTGGCCCTGTGGATAGACGTGGCAGTTGAAGGGGCAGCATGGAGGAGGAGGGAAGGGCTCAAGCACAAGGGGGATGGAGAGGTGACACAGTCACGGGACACCAAATTAACAGGGAGACGTGGCACGGGAATGGAGCGGGGAAAAAGAGAGAGGGTGAAATAAATCAAAAAGGCCGATGGGAACATGATGAAACACACAAGTGGCGTTCTCAGTGCACACGTCTGTCGCTGCTGAGGGGTGAAAACTGTTTTCATTGGAGATGATCTGAAAGCATTCATTATCAATGGAAGTAACTGCGAACGACTACAATTTGTAAATATCAGAGCTAGGCACGCATTTAACAGTTCATTTGTTTGGTATTAACACGGTTTTATTATCACTGTTTTGGAAGTCGTTGTTGACCAGTGTTAGCCTGGGATTGACCTCCCTAAGTGTCTCAGCCAATGAGAGTGTTTGGGGGGCGGGGCTAAAGACTGCTGCAGCTCTTACCTGAACATCGTAGAATGTGTTCCAGATGGTGTAGATGATGAACCTACATTTTTTTGTAACCACTGCAGCTGCTGTTAAGGAATATGGTTAGTTATGATAGTAACTTGTAACTTTTATTTGTTTTGTTATAACAAACTAGATAAAACCTTAACAACCCGCCAGTGGAAAGCAGCTTTTATTTTACCCGGAATTGAATTAGAACGATGCTAAATGTTTGAAACGCCACTGTGTAAAGAAGGTTTCAAAGTACCTCAAGTGTTTGCGCACTCCTGAAGTCAGTCAGCGTTGGATTCGACACAAAATGAACTAATGAATTAATCACGCAATGCATTACTGCAATCAAAAGTTAACAGTTAAAAGTTGCCTAGCTCAAAATACGAATATTTCAGTTTCTGATAATTTGAACATGAAGTGTTTTCACCCAGAAGCAGGGACAGGTTCATCTACAGGTCGTAGTAGAAAAGGCACAGCAGGGTGGGTGAAATATCGCAGCAATAGAACAGCACCAGCACGGCCACTGTTTCCTATTGTCACACTATTCCACCCACCTTAACTGTGAGCCTTTTGGCGTAGCAATGCCGTATCCTTTGGAATCCAGGTTCCCCCCGACTTTCATGGTGTCACAGGGTTTGCGCTGCTCCGTGTATTCGTTCATGGTGGACTCCAGGAGGAAGGCATACTTCCCCTTGGACTTTCGGACCCTGGCCACACCTTCTGCCGTGGTTTTGGTGAAGACAGTGGGCTCGGCGGACTTCATGTACGACCACATCTTCTCGTATACGGCTATTTTGGACCTCTGGGACAGTAGACAACAACAAAAAAAAGAAGAGTATAGTTTAAAATAGAAGTTAGGGGACATGCGATCAACTTAGAGAATAGAAACAGTAAAATAGAAGTTAGGTGATATGCGATCAACTTAGAGAATAGAAACAGATTAGGTCAGGGATTCTCAAACTATTCCATGACAAGGCCTCCCAAGTAGCGTTAGCTTCTGGACAGGGACCCCCTTTGAAAACCAACCTACAATCTTACAAAATGTTTAGAGAAACATTAACTTATTTTTATTCACTACAATCCTACAAAATGTTTATTTTGTTTATTAGAGAAACATTAACTTATTTTTATTCACTGTATGATAATTATTACATTTGTTTTGCACAAGAAAATGAATAATGAACATGCGCTAGCTAGCTACACGCTAGCTTGCGTAGCAGCGCTGCTTGACAATAGGCATAAACTTCCAGGTCTACGCAGATCACGACATCGTCATGCCAAACTTGCGGCTTTCACATGAGCTGCATTCAGGTACCACCGGGAAATTGAGAATCCTTTTTCATTTCATTTCCTTGAATTCAAATTAAATAATGCAACTTTTGCATACAATATTCATCAAAAAAGTATGTTCACATCTGCGCAAAGATATTATTTAAAGAAGAGAGAATCTAAATAATAAAAGAAGGCGACTAATGACAAATTAATCACTAATCATCAATCATCAGGATGTGAAGAAGCAGCTCCGGAAATCAAACAGCTCATTAGTCTGTGAAAGGGGTTTACGTTCAAAAACAGATCAGTGCATTTTAATTGTTACATGCCCTCATTTCCACAGATGCTTACGTTAAGTCAGGGCTATTTACCATAGATCGTCACGCTGCAGTGAATACACAATACTTCAATGTAGTTCCACCCTCCATAGATAGAGTGGAGATCTGTCTACTGTTCTCCTGGTAAAAAATAATATTTCCCTTTAGGTTAAAATATTTTTTAAAAATCATAAAAAGCCAAGCAACAATTGCTTTGATCAATATAGGAAAAGAAAAAAAAGTATTTTATTTAAAAAAAATGTTTTTTGTGTTATTCGAAAGAAGCCTCAAGATTAAGATTGGAAAAGAAATTTCCAATCTTGATCCAATATTTTTAATTTTTTTTTGTGTTATTCGAAAGAAGCCTCATTCAAATCAGTGGCCTGGTGAGTGACGGTCAGGGTCCGGAAAAGTCTCCAGGTAATCAACGCAGGTTTATGCAGTGTCCCCCCCCCAAAAGTGTTGCAGCAAGAGTGGAGCTGTGCGATCAAGAGTGAAAATAACAAGTGGAGTCAAACTGTCATCCTCCACCTGACTCCGGTCTCCCCTGCTCTCCTGATGATAAAGTGTTATTCTGCTGCTCCGAGAGCCGGGAAGCAGAGGACTCAGCTACTCAAAGAGTAGCGCCCAGTGATACCTGTGTGTCTGTACGTCACTGGTGCATGACCGATACCAATCCTATATTAATGTAACTCCTATCTTAGGGGGCCATCGGCTCCTCTCCTCCCCCCGTTCCCTCCATAACTCTTCTTACTGTGATCCATTCATACTTGTCACCAATTTTACACCTTTTTTCCCCACTTTGCACCATGCGATCTATTCTAATTTCTATATCTGCCTCCAGCCAACGATGAGCTCCTATGTGATGCTTATGTACTCAAGTATTTGTAAATAGAAGTGCGCGAGACATGGACGATGACTGCTGTGCACACTATAGACTTAACAAAAGCAGCATCTGGCCTTATAAGGAGTAAATGTGTGACAATAGAGTGTGACTTTTTTTTTTTCCACATTCAGCGAGGCTTTAAAAAAAAAAAATAAAAAAAATAAGACGTGCATTCTGCAATATCACCTCCAGGCATCAACTCCACAGAAGAGAGCTTTAAATATACAATCGTACGCAGATCGTCACACTCACATGCACACATGTAAACACACTCCATGCACGGCTAAATATGCATACATTCATACTCGCATATCCCCCCCACAGAGACACACACACACAAGGATAATTAATGGCGGTGGTGAATCCCCCTCAGCTAAGGAACGCTAAATTGCTTCTTCAACCTCCACAGACTTCAAGCCTGCTCGTTATGTTGATGACGCCGGAGCCGCTCACAGAGGCACAAAGCGCACATCCCACCTCCCTCCCCGCACATCCCCACGTACACACACGGGGGTTATACACACATCATCGTACGGAGGACGGGGGACTGGGAGACAAACATGGCAAAATGCACGAGAGCACAATTGATTTTCAATACTCCAGCGAAGCGTGACGCCGTGATTGAGCATCATCAGCCGGGAACAAGTAACAACATGGCTGTTTTTCTCGTGTGGGCAAAAAAAAAAAAAAAAAAAATGTATATGTACAGTCGAGTTTAATTGCGTTTCAATGTGAACTCAGGTCACTGGGTAAAGCCTCCCTGTTGTTTCCTTCCGCGTGTTTTAATTGTCAATGTGCAGTAGCAAACGTTGCAGCTTACTTTCGCTGTTCGGTGCTTTTGTTTTTTTGTTTTTTTTGTGTGTGTGTGTGCCATAATTATTATTACTAATCAGACAGGGTAGGAGGAAACAACTAGGGTTAATGAGCGTTGATCCAGCGTAATCATACCACAACGAGCATTTTAATTAAATGCATTTAAGTCCCACGCTGGTCCTATTAGCTAATCAGTAAACCCCCCCCCAAAGAACATGTGTGAGAAGTTTATTCAAGTCAACAAATCTCGACAGAAGTGAACCGAGTTTGAAAGTAAGTGAAGAGTATTTTCTTTTCACTGTAATTTAATGGGGTTTTTTTTTTTCAGTGTCTAGTTTTATTTACTGTGTTCTCTTGTGTCAGTTAAAACATATTTTGTGTACGTACAGCTATGTTAGCTAACGTATCTAATGTGTGTATGAATAACTATACAGTAACACCTTGAGATACGAGCGTCCTGACATACGAGTATTCCGAGATACAAGCAAGGCTTTGAGCAAGTTTTTGCTTTGAGATACGAGTAAAGATTTGAGATACTAGCACTCTTACAGAGCAAGTTTGTCGACTTCTGTACGCGTCTCCCCCGAGTCTTGTGTTTGCGTTATCTACGTGATTTTCTCCCTATTTGTGCATTATTCTTCATTATAGTGATGAGTCCTAAGAAAGAGAGCGATAAGGAGGGTAGTGAGAAGAAGAAACGCATGATGACCGTGGAAATAAAGCATGACGTTGTCGATAAATGAAGTGGAAGTGAGGGTAGTCAGGAGAAAAAAGTTGAAAAAAAAGTGAAGAAAAGTATAAGAATACAAATTGAAAAAAGCAAAAAAAAAGTAGGCTAAGTGAAGTTAATAAGTTAAGTTAATTCTAAGTTAATGTAAGTTACGTAGTGTACGTGTAAGGTACGATACAGAATCAAGTGTCTACGTCCGGGCCAACTCTCTTTCCTCCCTTCCTCCTCATCCGCACATGCCATTTTGTGTGTGTCTCTATAGCAATTAAAAACATGTTTTTCCATTGTTTTTAGCACTAATCAGGGAGTTTTTCAGAGGGCCGGAACGGATTCATTTTGTTTCTGTTATTTCGTATGGGAAAACATGATTCGAGATACGAGCACCTCGAGTTACGAGCTCGGTCCTGGAACGGATTATGCCCGTATCTCGAGGTATTACTCTATGTAAATACAATGCTTCTCATTATTTGTTTGGTGGTTGCAACACGGCAACCTGTAAATGCTAGATCAGTTCAAATACAGATGAGCTTGTTGGTAGTGCAGGAGTGAATACGTTTAACAATTCAACGAAAGGCCACTAGGGGGAAACGATCAGCTTGATCATCTGAGAACTTTTTGGCACGCCCCAAACGAACCCAACACACACTCACACTCTCGCAGCTGTAAAATATTCAGGCAGATGAACGGAAAGCCTTGTGTGCGTACCCTGAAGAACTCTTTGGTTGATCCTGAGTCCAGTGTCCCGTAGGCTATCTCTGTCTGTTTGGCCAAATCCTCCGCACTTTCTATAGGTGAGACCATCCTCTCCACGGTGAGGAAGGCGGCCAGGTTGGCTGTGTAAGAGGAGATGATGATGAGGGTGAAGAACCACCACACACCTCCAACGATCCTTCCCGATAGGGACCTGGAGACGAGACGGGCAGAGACAAGAGGAAGGTGACATTATACGTATGCTGCTTTTTAATGTGAACAGATTCTGAAGGTTACAGAAGCGGGTGAAGGGAGTGATTAGAAAATAAATGAAGAGAAAGATCTAGTCTTGGGCGACACAGATAGAAAATAGAGATAGGAAAGCAGCAGTGGGGGGGGGGGGGGGGGGGGGGAAGAAAAAAAAAAATAATGAGGGTTAGTTGCTGAGTCAGGGCTTTGCAGCACATTTACACAACACAAATACATTATAATTTCACTGAACATTTTCAACACCTGAATGACTGCAAAAATTGCAGCCCCGGCCATGTAATTGTCTTTCAACCCTCAGACTGAATCAGCAACAACAATAACAACCGAAGCAGATTGTAATCCTGGAGCTCCCCTAACCCCCCGCCTCCCCATCTCTCCTCTCACTCATTTTATCTTCCCTTTTCTCCCTCGTGTTTACTCTCTTTATCTACTATTTGTGAGCAGAAGAAGCAGGGTAAGTGGCAATTCATTTTGTTTACATGAACTTGATTTCACTCACTCGAAAGGGAAGAGAGCAAGGCGAGAGCGAACACATTAGAGAAAAGCAGCCCAAGCCCGGAGAAGGTGGGAAATGTTACGTTTTCTCACTGCCGCAGTCGATGAAAGTCCATGAAATTTAAATGAGCGTAAACAACAGCAGAATAGACGTGCATACAAAGAGCAGCAAAAGATATCTGCTGGAAAATGTGCTCATGAGCGGAAAGTTAGGGAACACAATAGCTGCGAGGACCAAGAAGGAAAGAAGAAAAATAAACACATTAAAATGCTGATGTTAACCGTTTGACTGCCTTGATTTGTAATATGCTTCCCCGTGAAAGTGATAAATATTTATGAGAGTAGTTCTGAGGACTTATTACACGAGTAAGTCGTCATATTGCCTCATCTTGACAAAGTGTCCAAGGGAGAATCTGCAAGTTTTTGGCCCGGAAAAATAAATAAACAGAACAACACAAACAACAAGAACCAGACATGTTTTTGTCGAGCACGTCACGAAATTCAAGGATCTATTTGATATTTGATGAGCAACGGAGACTAAACATTAGCGTCCAGAATACTAAGGTAAGGGGAAAACCGAGAGATACAATCCATGGACTTGATCTATAAGTAAAGGTAAGTTTTTGTTTTTTAAAAATAAGATGATCTATAAATAAAGGTTAGGCTGAAAATGGTATTAAGTTTTTGTTTTTTAAAAATAAAATGGGAGTAAGTAGAAAAAATTCAAGTATTTGATAAATACATGTTTGGCCTAAAATGTATATTTTTCTTATTAAATTGATAGACAACCTTTGATTAAAGCACCAGAATTTTGTTCGGGTTTGAAAAATAACTGCATTTTTTACTGAAGGTCAAAATAGGTCAATATAAATTTGTGCTGCCCTCATCTCTATACTTTAATTTGTTTACAGTAAATATGAATTTCTTAGACACAAAAAGGGTGTGCTATCCATTTCTATAAAAGAAACGTTTTTTTTTTTGTAGGAAAAATATGTTCCTGTGTATGTGTTGATGTTGGTGTCAGTGTCACTGAAAGAGGAATGCTGATTGGATATGAAGCATTACCAGGTGATGCTGTTGGATGAACAGTGAAATAAGATGCTTTTTTTTTTGGTTCTTACAATTGTAAATCTGACTCCAGAGGAGTCAGTGCCTCAGCAGCCATGAACCTCACCGCACGTCACCGGTCCATAGAGGACCCTGGGCACCACGTTGGAGACAAATATATTTTAGATAGCTGGGATTCAGTTGGAATTCAAATAAAGAGGACAACGTAGAGCAGTGGTCCTAAATCTGGAACTGAAATACTCTTGAGAACTTGATAATATGTATTTTCTTACCTGTAAAGACCACTTTATGAGTTGTTGCCACCTAGTGACCGGAGGCTGGTTTCAGCAGCAGCACACTTTACGTCCAATCCCTCCCTCCCTGCACTTCACTGTGCCGACCCAAATGGCCCGCCCCACTATTTAAAAAGTACTGGCGTACAGTATGTTTTATTGTTTTTTTTTTCTTCTTACTTCAAAGTAGTAACAACCCACATTGTATCCTCTACTAATTAGGTTTTTTTAAAAAAAATTATTCTTGACTTGAAACACTTTGAGCTACTTCTTACTTCAAAGTAGTAACAACCCACATTGTATCCTCTACTAATTAGGTTTTTTTAAAAAAAATTATTCTTGACTTGAAACACTTTGAGCTAGAGCTGGAGAAAACCAGACCAAAAGAACACTGATTGAACCAATGACCTGTTGTTCTTATAGCTGGGAGGAAAAAGCACTAACCAGATCATACTCTTCATGAGCATCATCTCATTACCATTGTCAAAACCATTTCATATTAGCAAATTAATCAGAATCATTTTTGGGATACAATACAAGAAAGAAATTACTAAGTGGCAATGATTTTTTTTTTAATGTTATTTTGAGAGATTTTATGCAATCAATTCTGCTTTGTGGGACATGTGGTGTTGAGAGGAGAGCAGTGACAGAGCACTGGGCTGCAGTGAAAACTGACTCAGCATAAATCATCGCCGGGTTGGAAGAGGAACTCCTCAATCTGCTCCTCCTCAAAAGGCCAGCTCACCTCCTGGTCCTCTCAGCCACTGCAGCGACTGCAGGTTTAAATATGACTTGATAGCGTTCGTCCTTGAAGTATTGATCTGCTTTCCCCGATTTTTATTCAACTACACAAGCTATGACGGATGGAGCTGCCGTGCGTTTTATGCTCATTAGAAGGCACTTCAAACATTTATAGCTGGTTTTCAAAATAAAATTCAGAGAAAACATATGTAACGTTCCCAAAAAAAATGAAGCAACAAATATGATGAATCGTCCAGTCAGTCTCAATGACACATACTAATGTACTTTCATTTACTCCTTCGATTCCATTTACTCACATACTATCAGTGTAGAACAGTGATTCTCAAACGGTGGTACGCGTACCGCCAACGGTACGTGAGCGCTCTCTAGTGGTACGCGGTGAAAAATCATATTTTCACATTTACATTTCAATTGAGAAAATCTGAAACCATGCATAATTAATACAAAATTTAGAAAAAATGTGCAGCTACTTGTGAGATGATGAAATAGGATATCTGGTCTTTTGATTTATTTACTTGTTTTTTTTTTGCTGCAATGCAAGTCTGTTGCTCACGTAAGCACAGGCAGCACGGAATCATGGGATCACTTGCAAGTTGAACGTGGAACCAGCAGGGGAATTCTAATGTTGGTCATCATGGTGGTACTCAGAGAGCTCAATGTTTTCTCAAGTGGTACAGAGTATGAGTTTAAGTTTGAGAACCACTGGTGTAGAACATTGATTTTCACCACAGGCATGTAGTGGAGATGAAAAAATGAACCTGGTCCGATACACAGCTGATCTGAGGTGACCCAATTTGATGATAATGTGAGAATTGCGTTTTTTAATTTGTCAAAAAGGTGGCGCTTTGGCCCAGAGGCAATGTCTCTGTCATTGGTGTGGAACCCCAGGGTTCACCTCCTGGGAAAAGTCGAGGGGGGACTGCTGCCCCCACAACCTGGTAATGAATAAGCGGATGAAAATGGATGGATGGATGGAGTTCTAAACACATGCATTGTTTCCATCAAAAAAAATATTTTCAAACGGTTCTATGATGTTTTCCCATGTATCTTCTTTTTTAGTTCTAAACACACGCATTGTTTCCATCAAAAAAAATATTTTCTGTAGAACTCTTTTGCACTACATCGGAATTTGCTCGAAACTGAAAATCAGTTGCCTTTGAACTGCCCACTCCAGCGTTAGGAAAAGAAAATTTATTGTAACAGTCAGCGTGTTTTGCTCCGACTTCAATACTGAACATTTTGATCAAATAAGACACAGCAAGGCTCAAGACCCCCGTCTTAGCACCTTTTGAGCTGCCTTTGTATGTACGCAAAGTGGCAACGGTTGCCTGAAATCTAACAACCAGTCATTAAAAATAATGTGTTATCACACGACTAAAAGTCATTCTTCGTAATTTACTCATTATGCATATAATCATAGCGTATGTTGCGTGGGAAGGAAATACGGCAGCAGACGGAAAAAAGCCCACACTGATAAATAACAACGTTAATGATTTCTTTTTTTTTTGGAAGCTCTGGGAAAAAAATGTGTCAAACTGCAAAAAAAATAGACTGACCCTCCTGTAATACCAAATAATAAATATACAGCAATAACAAATACATAAGTACACAGTTATATTTCCTACTCTAAATCCATTAAGCAATGTGGCTGTGTTTACTTGCAGACAAATGAAGCACAGTTGATTTCAATCAAACCAGCGTGCGAGTGCGTGAACTTGTGCAGCGCGGACGCGGAAGTGTGAGTCTGCAGGTGTGTCTCGGAATCTGCTAATGTGTGGGCGGCCTCGGCGGGGTGGCATTGTTTGTTGCTGCATCTGCTGGAATGCAACAGACGAGTCATTGCACACAGTGGGCCATGCATCATCCATGATAGCCAGCAGATTGCCTTTACAGTTTCTTTGTGTGAAAGATTAATGACGTTCTGCGCTTTATCCTTCCACAGCCACAAACACACTCACTATCAGACACACAGAACCATAACCGTTGAGATGGATGATGGATGGATGGAGAGAGGGACGGGTGTTTGATGGATAGTTGGATGAAACGATGGATGGATGGATGGAAGAATGGGTTAATGTACGATTGGGGGACTTGATGGATAGATGGTTGGATGAAAGTATGGGTAATGGAAGAATGTACGATTGGGGGACTTGAGGGATAGATGGTTGGATGAAAGTATGGGTTGATAGAATGGTTGGGTGGGTTGGTTGGGGTAGCAGGAAGGTTGGTAGGTACCGTAGCTTGGTGGGTGGATGAATGGATGGAAGTATGGATGGACAGAGAGAGGTAGGGATGGTTTAATGGATGGATGGAAAAAGGGAAGAAATAAGAATGGGTTGGTAGATGG